GTAAGTAACTGTGCAGCTCCCAGCAGCACCCCTTCATTCCTGACCCAGAGAAGCCCACTCCCATCACTGCCTCCGTGGGGCGGAGGGCAATCAGACCCAGGACCCTCCACACTCACCGGGCTCCGAGTCTGAGAGGCCACCTGAGGATGAAGATAGAGGAATAAGATAAGAGAGAGGAGGTGTGTGTGGGGGGGGCGGGGGGCAGGGTGAGGACAGCTAAGAGGCAGAAGGGGCTGGGCGAGAGACCCAGGTCCCTTGGGGAGGGGGCAGCACTCACCGGAGAAGAGAAGGATGCCCAGGCCAAGCATGACCAAGGCTCCGAGGAGGCACATGTTGAGAGAGATGCCCAGCTCCCCCACCACACCCTCGCTGCCTGCCTGCTCCCCTGCTCCCGGGGGCGTGGAGGGCTGAGCAGGGCTGGGGTCCCGGCCCCGCCGTCTCCGCAGGCCCTCGATGTCCATATCGGTGTCGTCGTCACTGCTGGAGCAGTGTAGCTCCTCCATGAGCCGAACTGGAGGGAAGGATGGGGCTCTTAGAGCTGACACTGATGGGGGACATGGAGGAAGGGCAGTGGCTGGCTGCAGAGGACACGGGGAGACCCTGCCCACTCGTGCAGCGAGGATGGCTTCAGGCCCCTCTGGAGGCGGGGAGTCCAGGCTGTTCCATCTGCAAACTACAAAAGCCCACTGCACCCTAAAGCATCTTCCTCCTCCCAGCATGTACCCACCCCCGCCCCCACGCCCTGCCCCATGAGCTCCTCAGCTCCTCCCATCCTCCTGGCCACTCTGCGGCCTCCTGGCCCAGTTCTCTCCGGTCCTCAGTGGTGGTCTCCCTGCTGCCATTTCCGATTCTCTCTTCTTACTATACCAGTGGTTCTCAAACTTCTTAATGCCACGACCCTTTCATACAGTTCCTCATGGTGTGGTGGCCCCCAACCATAACATTATTTTCGTTGCTACTTCATAACCCTAATTTTGCTACTGTTATGAATCTGGCAATCTCTGTGAAAGGGTCGTTCAACCCCCAAAGGGGTCGCAACCCACAGGTTGAGAACCGCTGTTCTATACTATACGCACAGTCCGCACCCCTCCACCCCACCCACACTCCTGCCTACCCCTCCCCTCCAGCCAGCATCCGTAATGCTGGACCTGGCCTCCTCAGAGGTCCACAGCTAGAGGGCTGCATATGGGTGGACCTCAGGGACCATTTAACACAATGCCCTCTTTTCTGATGTTCCCCAATTCAGCATAAGTTACAACTGACATCACCCAGCCCACCCCAAGACCAACAGTGAGTCTCCCCAGTTCTACCCTTGACCTCTCACCAGTCTACTCTTCTTCCCAACTACTGCGGCCACCTTACTTCTGCCCTGACCAGTGTGGCTTCAAGGTCCCTGGTCTCTCCCTTCACAACGGATTCATGTCACTCCTCTGCCACAGCCCTTAGCAGGGGACATGCAAGGCCGCACAAGCGGCCCACTCCTTCCCTCTCTGCCCGCAGAGCTCCTTCCCCTGAGAGAACCCCTTGGATGGTGCCCCCAGGTCTTCCCTGAAGCTGCAGCCCTGCCTGAGATGTTCCAGTTCTTGGGACCCAACCTGCCACGGAGGGGCGCTGGTGGCGCAGTAGTTACGGTCGGGCTGCTGACTGCTAGGTCAGCAGTTCAAAGCCACCAGCTGCTCCTCGAGAGAATGATGAGGCTTCCTACTTCCTACTCCGTCATGAGTCGCCGTCTCTGAAACCCATCGGGGCACTTCTACCCTGTCCTGTGGGGTCGCTGTGAGTCGGCATCCATTCGATAGCAGGGTCTGGCTTTGAGTTTTTGCATAAGGCTCTGTTCAAATACCACCTCCATTCGGGAACCTTCCCCAACTGTCTGTTTCTCTCCGATCTCTTCAACCTGTCCCAACTGAACCCCCCTCCTTCCTTTGGGACCCCTCCTGCTTGGCACACCTCTCTTCTGACTGGCACCTCTGTCGTGCCCTTTTACACTGGCCGAGAGCCACTGGCCCACCTCCCCTGGGCCCTGAGCCAACACATGGAAGGGGCTCAGAAGGAAGGGTCCATTACAGAGACAAGGAGAGAGGGGAGGAGGAAGGCCCATGGCGGAGAAGAAGGAGTCAGTCAGCATCAGCTGTGCGTCAGGGTCAAGCCACTTAACTTCTGAGTCCTCAGAGAGCAGTGGACTCACAGCGCGTGTGGGCAAGGAGGGATCACCCCTCTGATTGAAGGAGGGGCCAAGCTGCCCGGCCCAGTGCTCTCGGAATGGGCATTCTCATCTCCCACCATCTCCTTCTGGAAGGAAAATGCACATCGGAGACCAGGGGAAGAACACCCACCTGATTTGGGGGACGAGGGTGGGGTCTGTGGGGGACTCTGGTCTTCCACGCCCTGTGTGTCCATTTCCAAGTCGGCCACCAAGGAGGTCTCCTGCAAGTCGCTCTGGGCCACTGTGTCTCCTGGGCTCTGGGGCTGGACATCACCACCATCGCCCCCCAGGGCCCCCTGGTGACGCAGACCCAGCTGTGAGCAGCTGCTCTCACTCCCACTCCCTGTCCCCCACCTGGGAACGCCCTCACCTTGGCCTCCAGCTCCTCCTCGGGAGGAATGGGCCCAGGCTGGGAGCCCTCGCTTTTGAAGTGGATCCCTGGGGTGGGGGAGGGGGGAGAAAAAGCTCAGGAAAAACAGCAGCACCCCTGCCCCCCTGCTGAGCCCCCTCTGCAATTCCCTGGTTCCCGCAGCCCCTGCCAGGTCGGAAGGGGCCGGGATAGTCCAGAAAACGGGATGGAACCAGGGAAGGTGTCTTTACACTGAGATCCATAAGGGAAGTAAGAGTGATGAGCTGCAAAGCCCCTCTTTGGGAGCGTAAGTGGAGGCGACCAGAACATGCAGGAAAGGGAGCCACACCCTCACCCGCAGCAAGACGCCCCTCACCTTCTGGCTCCATGGTCCCCGCTAACTCTTCGCCACCGGCCTCAGAGGTGCTCTGGGGGGCCATGTCACTCTCTGGGTCCGACCTGGACTCTGGGCCCAAGGTCTCCACTGGCAGGCTCTGGGGGGAGGGGATTGGGCGGAAGGGCTGCTCCAGAGGACGGACAGACGGACAGGGGCCCAAAACCAAGGGCTTGGAGCTGTCATCGGGCTCCCGCTCAGGGTCCTGGCCCCATCTCTCAAAGGTGCACCATGGGGGGCGGGGGGTTAAGCCCACCAGACTGTCAGGGCTTGGTGAACTGGCACCAGCTTCTCGGCTCAGAGGGGAAGCCTCCACCCACCTGATGGCACCTGCACTGTGAGAAACTTTCAGAGGCTGACTTTCTCTTGAACAGAGCAGCAAGCCTGCCCAGACCATCACTACCCCCTTCCTAACAGATGAACCACCTGGGCATCTATCGGGTAGGGGCGAGGGAACAGAATCCTTTGGGCAGTCACAGTTTTGTCCCTCAGAACTTGCCCACATAACAGGCCGAACACTTACATCATCCTGGCATTTCCCACTGGCCCCTGACACTGCCCGCCCGGCCCTGCCCTCTCCCGGCAGGTGCTCACAGAAGCCCAGCTCACCCCGGCCACCGAGAGGCTGACCCGGTCTCCACGGGGCCCTCAGCCCCCCCTCTCCCTGCATACTGCCCTGGGCAAGCCCACCGCCCACCTCGTCTTTGCCTTAGTATGTTTGCCATTTTCAAAACGCTCAGGCCAGGGTTGCTCATTCTGTTCTCATGCCGCCTCTACAAGGCCAGCGTCCGAACTCATCATAGGGGAGGGGGCAGAGAGGTGAAATGGTACCCAGAGCCCCCACCAGTCAGCAAGGTGCCTCCACAGGCAGCCAGGACACTGAACACAGCCACCTGGTCCCCTCCTTCTCCACCCTGCTTCTCCCTTCCCTGCCAGCGAGCCCCAATCCTCATGTCCTGCTCGGGGGCCATCCCTGAGGCCCCCCCACGCCCACCCAGTGTGTCTACGCTGAGCAGTCCCTGCCTCCCCTCCTGGTTATTCTAACAGACTCAGTCCCAGGGGCAGGAACACAGACACTCCCGTGACAAACTTTGTCTCCAGCCCAGAATCCACCACCTCAAACCTGGAGCTCTCCCCTTGGAGAGCCTCCAAACATCCTCCCTGTTCCTCCCCAGCCATGCGGTGGCCCCCTCTTCCCAGGGAGGGTCCTAACACCGTCCAACGCAAAGCCCTTCATGGGTCGCCTTCAGGATGAGGCCAGATGCCTCCACCAGGCCCCTCCGCTCTGCCAGCAGCCTCATTCCATCGCTGGCTCCGACATCTGTCCCCACATCTTCCCTGGCCCAGGGGTGCTCCTTCCCACCGCTGCCCAAAGGCCTTAGTACAAGCTGGTCGCCCCACTTTTCTCAGAGTCAAGGCAGGTCCACGTCCCAACACCTTCTCTAGGAGCCCCTGCTCAGATGACCTCTGGGGCTTGAGCTCCTCCCCCTGCCTCTAGAGACAGGCCCAGGAAGCACCCCAGCCCGGTTAGAGCCCCCAGGCTCCCAGCTTCGTACCTCTGTACCAGCAAGTACCCAACTATTATCCGACTCTGGGCAGGAGGCCATTGCTGCTGCCGAGGTCCCGGGGCTTGTGACCTGTAAAGAAACGTCTCTCAAGGACCCCCAACTCCACATTCACACACCACACCCGCAGCAGCCTCAGAACCCAGCCTGGTTCTAGCCCTTCAGCTCCCCACACCTGAAGTCATCCGGAGGGCAGTATTTGCATTGTAAATCAATCCCTGCCCACAGCCAGGGGAGTGACTCTTCAAGGGCCAGCGGGTCCTTGGGAAACCGGACTGACCTTGAAAGGTCAAAGAAGCCTAGGGGTGGAAAGGCTTTGGGGACTATCCAAGCCAACTGCCACAGGCTCCCCAAAGCCCTGCCACTGAGTGGGGTCTGGCTCAGAGCGGCCTGTGCTTCAGGCAGGGAAACACAAACCCCAGATGGCTGACTGACCAGCTGTGCTAAAGAGGACCGTGACTCAGAGGAGCAAGGAAAGCAAGCCAGCGACAGGCCTCTCCACTGCCACCAATGCCCTCGGGGCCTGGAAGAGAGCCGGCCAAGGTCTCCCACCAGAAGTCCTCCCATGGTCTTGTTTGGGGGTTCTCATCACTGGTCCCTACCTGAGATTCTCATTCAGCTGGCTGGGGGCAGAGCCTTTCTTAAAGCCTCTCTAGATGAGTGTCAGGTGCAGCCAGGGTGGAGATCCGCTGAGATCACCTAGCTCCACCTGGATGTACCTTTAGGAAATCTCCTTGTCCCCTCTCTCCATCCAAAATCTTCTTCCCCTTCTTAGCTGGTCCCCGGGGCGTTTCTTCTCAGGGACAGTGAGGGGGACTGACTGGGGAAAGCACCTCGCGGCAACGATCATGGATCATGTAGAAAGCACTTTCTGGTGTGCGACCCTGTCTGCTGCTTATCTGATCTGATCTGGCAGAGAGGGAGTCCTCCCACTTCCAAAGCCCTATCACAGGGAAAGCTAGGAAGAGAGGGACTTATTCCTTCAGCCAAGGCCAAGACTGGCCCCTCGGGCTGGGGCAGTTGCTGGCGGGGCCTGGCTGAGGTGGAGGAGTAGGTGGGAGTCCTGGACTGTAATTCTTCAAGGACGGGTAAGTGACTGCTTAGGGAGGGACTAGAAGGAGCAGAGTGGCTATACGTTGGGCTGCTAACCGCAAGGTCAGCAGTTCCTCAGGATAAAGACCAGGCTTTCAACTCCTGTGAAGAGTTCTAGTCTCGGAAACCCACAGGAGCAAGCAGTTCTACTCTGTCCTATGAGTGGAGGCTGACTCGGAGAGGACATTAAGTGGATGAAAGCCCTGGAAAGGAAAATAAGGCTGCCGCCTTCCATCTGAGCAGTTGTAAGCCCCACATAGTACCCTAAGGACCTCCGGTGGTGGCCTTTGCCAGTGGAGATCTAGGCTTGGGGCAGGGGAAGGACGCCTCCCAGACCTGTCCTCAGTGCCACACCTCCCATCTCACGTGGAGAAAGGAGAATGGCTGCAGTGACATCCACTCGCCAAGTCCGACAGGATATGTTGGCAGGCTTTTACAGGCACGGCCGTCTGTTCTCAGGCCCGCCGCCGCCGATCTGTCATCATCTCCCGTCCCCAGTTGCTGTGTATGACTGTTAACAGGTGGTGGCAGGGAGGAAGTGGCAGCAGCTCGGGCTGGAGTCCCTGTTTATCCCCGGGCTGTGTACAGCCTGCTCAGGTCCTCCGGAACCAGGCACCATGGCAACCAGGATGATGTCAGACCCACTGTCTCCATGGAAACCAGCCATGGTATTTGGGTCAACCAGACAAACACTTCTGAGACCCTACCAGGAGGCATTCTGGAACCCCGGTCCACACAGTGCCCCAAACTCCGATACCACTCAGCTGGGATCACCCAGGATTCCAAAAGTACTCTCCTTCTCCCAAACCAGCCTCTGACTGCCTTATTAGGAGGTTCCTTCTGCTGTCCTTTCTCCAAACCTCTCGGCTGGGTTGTCATCAGCCTGTAAGAAAACCCACCTCGGCCCACTCACCCAAGCCCCCCTTTTCTTTCTTAGTCTGCCCCCAGGCAGGAGGCAACAACAACAACATCCTGTGTGGACTGTCAAGAAACCCTGGTGGTGAAGCTCCTGGCTGCTGGTCAAAAGGTGGGCAGTTCAAGCCCCAGACTCTGCTCTGTGGGAGCAAAGCGTCTGCTCCCTGGCAGAGTTCCGGGCTTGGACGCTCCGTGGGGCAGTTCTACTCTGCCCTACAGGGCTGCTGTGCCTCACAATCACCTGTAACGCAGGAGGTTTGGCTTCTTTAAAAAGTAGGATGGTCAGACTTCTGCTATTTCTAAATGATAGCTAAAGGGGGAGCTCTCCCACTCTGCACAAGCTGGGAAACCTTACCAATTCCAATTTCAACCCCTCCAACAGTTGTGGTCCCAAACTCCCGGAAGCAAAGGGCCTGGGGGCACAAAATTTGCCCAGGAGTCCCACAGCCAAGTTCCTGTTTTGGAAATGTCTGCGGACGGTCCCCCTTCCCCGGCCCGGAAGAGACCAGCAGGTCTGTGACCCCGGGTAAAGCCCCGTCCCTCGCGAGTCCCGCCCTCCCTGCCCTTGACCCTCCCTCTCGGGGTATCTGTGGTCCCCTTCCCGGCGGGGGCACTACCTGACCCGGCTTCGGTCTTCCGCTGAACTTGTTGCTGCCTCCCCTGGTTTCCAGCCCGAGAAAGAAGGGGAGTCATGTGGCCAGTGGCTGACCAATGGCAAGTCGGCTTCCTGCAAGGGGCGGAAACTTTTGGCCAATAAGCGCTGGAGTTTGGAGCCGAGGGTGGGACTGCACAACCCTTAAACCTGCGCTTAGCCTCCTGTGGTGGGAACCTGGGGTCCCCAAAACTGAATTTTGGGCCACCTCCCCTCCTTTCCCAAGAACTGCCAAGTTTTTAAAGGAAAGACCAGGAACAGAGGAAGGCTAAGAGTGGTGTCTCCTGGGACAAGCACACAGGGGCCAAGTTGGCCCCAAAATAGGCCGTGACAGCTGCAGGAGGGGGGGAGGGGGAGGGCAGGGGAGAGGCGACCGGCGGGTGGCAAATTGCGAACTTGCAAATGGGCCGCCTGCCACTCTCCGCACTCCAATCCATTACAGTTTAAGGAAGGGGATGCCACGGCTATTTTAAAGCACGAGGGGCCTCCAGTGTCCCCCCCCCCCCCAAACCTAACGTTAAGCCGAACGCAGCTCCTCCCCAGCCCCTGGCACTACACTGGATGGAACAACTGGCAAAGGGGGGTGGTAAGCCCAGAAAGGCTTCCATCACGCCCCTCCCAGAAGCCTCTGGGTCAAAGCGCTTCCTGGCTTGGGGCCTGACCCAGGAATGTGCTCAGAACAGAAACCTAGGCCCTTCTTCACAGCAGGGACACTACCCCTGCCCTCTGGCCACACACACCAGTCAGTTCTGGGGCGGACTCCCCCTACCTTCCCACTCTGGGGGAATGAATGCCCACCCTAAGTCACCCTTCTATGGGACTGTGGCTCTTTCGGGATTTTTTTGCGCATAAAAGCAAGGAGCCCTTGTCTGGATTTTCAAGTCATTTTATTAATCCAACCGTACAAAACACTCCCCCACATCTCTGTCACCCTACTTTCTTTCAGGAAGTAGTGGAGGGAGAGAGCGAAGACACCCTGCAGCCCCAGGGCCTCCTCTGTTGTTTTTTTACAAAAAGGGGAGGGGGGGTAAACAACACAAAAGTATCAACAGATAAAGGGGCAAACAGAAACACAAAGTTGGGCGGCAGGGGGCCGTGGTCTGTTCTCATGGCCCAGGTCTGCTCTCCCAGCCTGAGGCTGCTGGCTCCCTGGCAGATCACTGGGTTCCCTCCGTTGTCTAGCCTGGGAGGGAGGGGGACACAGGGGGTGGCCTCTGCCACCACACCTTGTGCTTGGAGACCACACTCCCGCCCGCCCTACCCCCACCCCAGTGAAGAATGGAATGGGCAGAGCTGTAGGGATGAACAGCTGGGGATGTCAGCTCAGCCCCTGGGCTCCTCTCTGGCAGCCAGTCCTTAAAAAAGAAAAAGCAAATTAAGCCCACAACTGGGCATTGGCTGAGAGGAAGAACTGCCGGACGACGGGACGACGGAGCCCAAGACATGAAAAGCCCAGCAAGGGCCAGGAGCACAGCCAGGTTCTTGGACCTTTTAGGACCATGACCGTGGGGCTCCGGCCGTGCCCAATCCCCCACCCACCCCAAGGCCTTGGCAGGGCCTCCCTTGGGTCCCAGGATCGGGCTAGGAAATGAGGTATGAGGGCTCTGCCCCTTTTCAAGCTTTCCTTCAATCAGGCCAGGGAGGTGAGGGTAGAAGGCGCCACAGCTGAAGAAAGACGCAGGGGATAATGTGCAACACATGGGCACGGGGGTGAGGGTGGGGGGGCCTGGGACCCCAGGGTCCAGACTTCTGGGACAGTCCAGACTTCAGCTATCCTGGCTGGTCAGAACACATATCCCACTTTTTTGGCAAAAAAAAAAAAAAAAATCCCAAGAACAAAAAACAAAACCACGTGGTCATTAGGGGCTGAGCTGCATGAGGGGCTGCTGGGGACAGAGCAGTGACTTTGGTATGAGGGAGGTCCGTCCTGTCGCACCTCTTACCTACTGTCTTGAAGCCCAAGTCACCAAGAACTCTCCAGCTCCTATGAGCTATTTGGTTCTCGGCGGGGAGTTGACCTCGAAGGAGGCAAAGGGGGAAGTGGAAAGGGGGGGTGGTGGAGTCCCATGTTTGCCCTAGTGCCCTCTCACAGAGCCCCCAGGGAGGACTACTATGGGGACGAAGAGACCCCAGCTCTTCTGGCCAGAAACTTTGATGCCAAAAACTCAGGCTGGCGCCACAGCATTCAATACAGGCACAGTGTCAGCGGGCATCCAACACCCTCGGAGGGGACACCCCAGCCCTCCGGGCTCTCCTCTGGCGGCCACAGCCCTAGGCCTCCGGAGACAGCCACCAAGAGATAGATGGCTCTGAGCTGCAAGACTTTGATTTCCGGGACCTCGGTAGATCTCAGCTGCCAAATTGCCAGAAAAGTCAGCGATCCGGGCCCTCTTCGACCTGCCCGTCTCAGATCCTTTTCTGCCCCCATGGGAATGGGAGGCCCCTGGAAACAGGGACCCAGAGCCAGACCCGGAAACAAGCACCCCACAAGGGCAGGGAGGGACGTGCGCACTTCCCCGGGCCACCACCACTGCGTCACCCGTCGTTGGCAGCCACCAGCTGCCCCATGCCCTCTCGGATGTAGACGGACTGAATCTCCTTGGTCTTGAGGCAGAGGTCGCAGGCCCAGACAGCAGAGGCCTCTGTGGTGAGCAGCCCGTAGGCGCTCTCAGTCATGCCTGTGCACTCCCGGTGGAACCACTTCTGGCACGAGGCCTCACACAGGATGGCGTCCTGGTCGTCATTCACCTCGCTCCGACAGGCACCACAGGGATACACCAGGCCTGGGGGCGGCTGGGGCCCTGAGCCCCCTCCTGCTTTGCCAGGGGGTGCCAGGCTGTTGGCATCCGGCGTGCCCCCACCCCGCCCACTGCTGTTTGGGGGGAAGCTGGGTTGATTCCCATTCACCGCAGCAGCCGGGGAGCCCGAGTGGGGCTCCTGGGGAAAAGCGGTGGGGGCAGGTGGGTTTAAGGGCTTTCCCCCATCCTCACCACCAGGGCCAGGGAAGCCGGGGTCTGGGCCGGGAAAGGGGCTTGTGTTAGGTGGCAGGCTGGGGAGCCCCTGACCAGGTCTCTGGAGAGGAGAGGGGCCAAAAGGTGCTCCTGGCTGGGCAAAGCGCTGGGGGAGTGGAGGGCCCAGCTCCCCTCTGGGAGGCTGCCCCATGGTGGGGGAGATCATGGGGCCAAATCCTCCCACGGGGCCTGCCATCATCTGCCCACTAGGAGGACTGAAGTTCTGACCCAGAGGTTGGTTGAAGGGTTGGCTGGGAAAGTTCATGTTGCCTGGGGGTGGGTAGCCAGGGCCCTGGGGGGGCATGTTGAAAGCAGGGCCCATAGGGTTGGGAGGGAAAGGAGGGGGCTGCCTGCGGAGAGGCTGGGGACCCCCTCCGCCCCCAGCGCCATAGCCTGGGGGTACCTGGCCAGCCATGCCCCCCTGTACTCGGAAGCCCCCAAAGGGCACAGGGCTGCCCAGGAAAGGAGGCGCTGCAGCCCCCACTTTTGGGGCTCCAAAGTCATCCTCAAAAGGGTTGGACGCAACCAGATGATCCACCATAGGAGTCGGGGGCGGCGCAAACTCCGTCAGATGTGAGTATGCAGGGCCCTGCGGGAGGAGAAGCAGAAAAGAGGGCAGTTGAGCACGATGCTGAGTGAGGCCCGCACAACACTGGGAGGAAATGTCAGTCCAGGAGGCGGCGGCAGCTCAGAGCTTGAAGCCAGACTGTCTGAGAATGCAACAGGCAGGGAGAGGAAGCCTGCGAGCGCGGCGGGCATGTGTTGAGCCAGCTCTGAGTTGGATGACCTTGCAGCAGGCGCTTACTTTTTCCACCTTCAGATTTCTCATAGGAAACATAGGGCTAACGCCTCTCCTCAAAGCCTTCAAAGTAACAGCACCATCAATGGCCCCTAGCCCCAAGTTCAATAAATGGCAACTGTTATCACTGGGCACAGGCACCAGCCAAGCAAGAGAAGCAGAAGGGAGAGGGGCTATCACCCACCCCCTTGCCTGGTGAGCTCTTCCATCAAAGCATCTCTTGAACAAACAAACAGTCCAGGGTTCATCATCTAGCTGAATCCCACTCATGACCACCACCACCAGCACGTCTCTGGTGGGTTCCCAGGTGTGTGACTCTTGTACTACACTTGTGTTCCCTCTCAGAGTGGGGGTGGTTTCCAACTGCTGACCTCACAGCTAGCAGCTCCAAGTGTCACTACGGTGCCACGGGGGTGGCTCCAGCATCTCTTGGAGAGGATTTCTCCGAGAATTTACAATGAAGTTGAAGTAAAGGGCCTAACGTGGGGCGCAAATAGATATGGATGTGGCAACGTGCTGAGAGGTTGCTTCCCAACCCTCCCTCCCCCCCCACCCCAATTCAATCATTCACCTGAGTATTTGACTTCCTTCGCTTCTTTTCGGGGCTCTTCATTTGCAGACCTGGAAGAGCAGCACAGGGCAGTGGTGGGCAAGGTTTCTCCAACCTCCTCCCCCAGGCCCTCCCCGGAGGAACTCCTGGAACTTTCATGGGATGCCCGTCCGTTTACTGACCCAACACGGCAGGCGATGGGCTTTCAAACGGCCTTGTGAGCGGGGCCACACTCGCAGCGACTTCCTGACACTCTGACTCCACGAGACTCCCGAATTCTGTGCACCTCCAAACTCCGGGACCCCCGCCCAGGGGGCCTTGACCCACCCACTCTCCATCCGAGCCCTCCTCCAGCCTGAGACCCCCTCATCCTCCCCACCGACTCCCCGC